TACGCCAACATATTCCGGAGCATGACGGCGTGCTATCACAATGAGCCCTCTTGTATATATATATATATATATATATATATATATAAACAATTATATTAACTATAGCAATTTTACTATGTTTAATTTCAATTTCTCAATAAAATAAGCTCATTTCTTAAAATTATAGAGTAAACTCATTTGAAACTTTAATTTTATATTCCACATAAGCTTCAAAAAGGATTACACATGTATATATATGTACACTTATCTATTTAAATATGAGAACGCATGTCTCCCATTCTTAGCGTTGCCATTAATTTTAAAGAAAATACAAGCAAATAGTCAAGCACCCATGTGAATGATGATGTCATGTTCCACTAACAAATTTAAAACTTAGAAAATAAGAGAGAGTCTTCTTCTTCCCTGCATATCTCAGTTAAACTCATTTTCCTCAAAGGTAATTGCTCCAAAAGTCCTCTCACACGTGGTAAATGAGTTGCTCCCGTGTCCCCTCCGTTTGGGTGCGGAAACGTACCCAAACCGCACCCGACACGGGTACGGCGCCAAAATTACCGTGCCGGGTATCATAGCTTCTGGCACAGATAAAATATGTTATCCGTTTATGTTTTGATTAATTTTAACATGACTTCCTATTTGGGTAACTAGACTACTAAGGAGATGATCAACAAAGCTCTAGCAACATATATGAGAACTAACAGCTCCTAATTTTATACTACGCTTTTCCACCTTCGTTTCAAATAATAATCAGTTGGAACTTTTAGGCCCAAACTTTTGTTGTTGGGAAACTTTATTTCAGGAAGTAGTTTGTTCAAATTTTGTGTTTGTATGCAAGAAGGAACAATTACTGATGAAGACGTGTCTCCTAATTTAATATGTTTGACAAAAAATTTAAATATCTCAGCTAAACCCATGTTTGCATAAGCTCATTAGACTGTGTTTAGTAGAGATTGAGGAGGTCGTTCCTATTCACTTTTAGCTAATACCTTCTCTTATATATATTCCAACTAATGTTTGTTTTTTGGAAAGTCAATAATTAATCCCACAATCTACAAAGTTAATTACTACTGGTAAGTGTAAGATAATGAGGGCGATAGTTTTTGTATCCACAGGCGTAATGAGCAAAACAGCTCCGCTAATCGAATGAACTAGCAAAAGTTAAGGTAATGAGAACCATGTCAGAAATTCCTAATAAATGGGAAAAAAAAAAGGTAAAATTTGCATTTCTTTTATTTTTCCACTGTACGTAAGAGGATAACGAAATACCGAAGATCCCTTCTCTGGACAACAACACTTCATATAAGATTTTACTGATGCGCGACTTGGAAGAACCTTTGTAATACATGCAAGATGTAGGCATATAAAATTGCTTATAGGTCCCTTAGCTCAGCTCGGCACGAACCGACAAACCAACGAGGCGACGAGATCGACGAATCGCACGCAAGCAACGGAATACATCCATTCGCGTGCGGGATCAAGCCAAGTGTTCGAAGAGTCAACGAGTCATCCAACCGAGAGCGGACTCGAACGAATCACGATCGAATCAAGATCGGTTTCGGACTCCAACTCAGAAGCGGATTTACTGCCTAATCGGGATCCGGATTTACTGCCAAATCAGATCAACCAAATCAAAGACTAAGTTACAACCACAGAACTGAATCACAGATAGAACCAAGAGCGGAAAACGACGGAACAACACACCCGAAAAGAGGCTCGGAAACCAAGTCACCGAGGCGGCTCACCGAGCCACCAAGGTGGCTCGGTGGCCGAGCCACCAAGTGGTGGCTCGGCCGAGCCACCTAGGTGGCTCGGTGGCCGAGCCACCTTGGGGTGGCTCGGCCACCTCCGAGCCACCAAATGGTGGCTCGGAGGCCGAGCCACCTCTAGGTGGCTCGGCCACCTCCGAGCCACCAATTGGTGGCTCGGAGGCCGAGCCACCTCCTTGGTGGCTCGGCGGCCACCAAGGTGGCTCGGCCACCACCGAGCCACCAAGAGGTGGCTCGGTGGCCGAGCCACCAAGGTGGCCGGCCGAGCCACCTCTTGGTGGCTCGGCATGAGCCGAGCCACCTTGAGGTGGCCGCGCGGTGGTCCACGGCAAACAACCCCGGCGCAGGCAAAGAACCCACAAAGCGAGCGACCGCAAAACAGGAGCTCGTGATTCGTTCGACAAACAAGGAAACAAAGTTGTAATTTTTCATTTCTTTTTATTTGATTTTCGTTGTAACCGGATCTTATAAAAAGACCGGATCTTTGTAATCGATAAACTGTTACAAGAGTGTACAATGGAATCATTAATGAAGAAAGCAACGGTTTTTCCCGCGAACACAAGATACAAATTCCTTTTTCTGTTGTAGACAAGATGATGGAAGTAAAGCTGGCTCCAACCATCAAAATGATGTAGAGCGGACAACAGTGGCGGATCCACAACCTCTTGTGTGGTGGTTCGAAATTAACGCTAATATTTTTTTTCAAATACTACTAAGGAAAGCATTAAAATAATAAACAAATAATAATAAAGAGAAAATAGGAGAAAGTAGAAATGTAAAGAGAAAATAAGGATTATAGGAGAAATTAGAAACATAAAAGAGCTGTAGGAGGTTTTGAACCTTTGACCTCTTTGAAGGTAAGCTAATGCTTATACCACTAGGCTACAAACTAACATATCTGAGGTGGTTCAAATGAACCACTTTGAACAAGAACAGATCCGCCACTGGCGGACAAGTTGGTATAGAGCTCAGAAGATACATCAGAAATTGGCTTCAAGAACCTTGTTCTCAATTTGTAGTTTCCTCTTTCGGTGAAAGAAATATTTCATTTCATTTATAGGGCAGCAGAGCTTTCTCCTTTTCTAACACGTCATTTTAGCATATTTTTCGCTTTCCCAATCTATTTCCATTAACATAGAGATTATACGCTCCTATTATTACTATTATTAAAGGTACTTCTAACTTGAGAAACAGTTACGATCTTGCTTACAAAATAACTAACTCATCCTTAAAAGTATTGGCGAGCTCTCCAGTTTCCCCATAAAGTATCAATTTACCTATTTTGGCCTCAAACTATATTTGCAATTTCAATGTGATCATTTTGTGAGCCTACAGTCAAATATTTAACATATCAAATGATGTGACATGTTCTTTTGCATTTCTTCATTCGTTTTTATCAGTTTGTCTCATTTTTCCCAAACGAATAATATGTATATCCTTTCCCTCGAAACTTTTTGCCCTTTAACCCTCTTTATGAATTGAAAAATTATTTTTTTAAATTGCAGAAAAACACTATCACGTAGTTAATCTGTCAAATATTTGACTTAGGCTCACAAAATGATCACAGTGGTGGCGTGCATATAGTTGAAAGGGTAAATAGGCAAAATTGATACTGTTGGAGGAACTTGAGAGTTCACTAAGGGCATCTCCAACCATACCCTCCAAATTTGGCCCTCCAAATTAGAATATTCTAGGAATATTCTAATTTGGAGGGTGAAATTTGGAGGGTTGCTCCAACCCACACTCTCCAAATATTTTTCTTTTTATTTTTTCTTTGTCAAAAAAGCCATATAAATTAAATAATGTTGGATATAGTTTACGTTAATAATTTTATTGTTAATAATTTATTTGGGAAAAAAATTATAACATTATAAAGGTGTCGATGAGAGCTTTAAAATGAACCCAATATTAATACTGCAATACAACATATTAAAAAAGAAGAAATTCTGAAATAACAGTGAAAGCATACATCGATAGAACAAGAAAGCAAATATTAACCTCTAATACAACATACCATAGGTCGCAAACATAAACCTCAAACATAAAATATGATAAGAGACAATTAAAATTCTGGCAGATCATTATCGTTATAACTACCGGTTCCATCCCGATCTCTCGAAGAACCACCATATTCATTTCTTCCTACAGAACCAGCTTCGTCCGCAAATTGAGAAAATCCTCCTTGATTTACAATGGGAAATTCATATTCGTACATTATGCTTGTATTTTTTTATGGAGCAAGTTAAATAAATCTCCGTATTTAAAATTTCATGTCTGATACTTATTTATTTAATTTAAAAATTAATAATTTTATAATAATACTAAAATAAATTAATCTTAGTTTCATTTTAAAGATCTCAACGAGCCCTTTCCAAATATATAATGATTTCAAATATTAGATTAATAATTTTTTAACTATATTTATTTGAAATTAAACATCTAATTTAAATTACTAAGAAGGATGGCAAAGTGATAATTTTTAAGAAACCAAATAGTTAAAAATGGTAAAATTGTAATTAAAAAACCACGAATAGTGTTATGGAGAGACCCTCCATTTTTTCTCCCCACCCTCCAAATTTGGAGGGTCAAATTTGGAGAAGAGACCCTCCATTTTTTCTCCCCACCCTCCAAATTTGGAGGGTCAAATTTGGAGATCTCCAAATTTGGAGAGTGGTTGGAGTTTGGAGGGTCAAATTTGGAGATCTCCAAATTTGGAGAGTGGTTGGAGAGGTTCCACTCTCCAAATTTAGAGATTTTGGAGATATGGAGGGTGGTTGGATAATACTAGGATTATTAAATTTTTCGTAACAGCGCCCTCTGCAAAATTTTGTAGACCTTTGAAAATAGAAATCAGTTCAAGTAAGCTGCAAGGTTGCATTAAAGCAGACTGAGATAATATCAGTTTTCCTTGGACAGCCCCGTAGCTTGATTTTTAGCGTGCATCCATACCAACAGCTCGAACTTTGCATCTGATATTCATGCACACCGCTGAGTATAAATCATGCTTGCCCGTATACGCTCACAGGTTGGATACAAAAAAGGTTAAAAAGGTGAGGTTTTGGCAAGAGATGGTACACAGGTTTCGTTTACATGTTCTGGCAAAACACACCAATGTTCGTTCAATATGCGCGGTAAACACCACCATATTGGTAAGCACGGGGACTTCTCGTCTATTGCATGAAGTATAACAGAAGAGAATTCACTTGAAGTTTAGGAAATTGAGAAGATGCTGGCTCGCATCCACCCATAAGCACCAAACGGCGCTATTAAAAATAAATACAAATGAAAATCATACACAAAAATAAAACAAAAATTATACATCAGAACACAAGCAGTATCTCCATTCCATCAATAGGAAGAAAAGAAAAACAAAACAACTGTTGTATGCCTTATACTAATATGAGAATCATCAGAAGCAAAGACCATGATTAGATTTCCAACACATCAACTCCAATATGGAGTACCAGGAGAGTCTTCTATTCATCTAATCATATTTATATGTAGGAATACACCCATAAGCTTTCAATTTCCTTCTTTTCCTTTCCTGCAATGGCCTGAACTTAACAAGAATGTGTAACGAACTTCAAGAGGAGAAGTTGAAGTTTGCCGCTGGACTAGAATCTGTACATGGAGGAGCTGCTGCCAGGTGGCGCAGGTGGAAGTCGGTTGGGAGTGCGGCGGCTGCTAGAGTTCGGACCCATATCGCCGTTTTGTGCGGCCTCATACCTTCGGCTGTGACCATTGGCACTGCTTGATCTACCAATGGAGTTGGAATGACTCGATGGTCCATTTGCTGCGGAGTCAAATGCAGATCTCCAATCATCGCCCAATGATGAGACTCTGCTGGGTGTCTTTGGACTCTCTATACGAAAATAATTGTGTTGCGTGAGTAGCAGTTGTTTTTAGAAAAAAAAATAAGTTTTATTTTATGTGCTTTGGCAATGCATTAGCTGATGAAATTCTCCTCGGATAATAAAAAGGATTTTGTCGATAGACCCCATGTAGTGTCATTTCTAGAAAAGATTGTAACTTTTGTTTAATGTGCTTTCACAATGCATTAGCTGATGAAATTATCCTCGGTTAATAAAAAGGGTTCTGTGGATAGACCGTGTAGTGCCCTTGGATAATGTTTGTTTTTAGAAAAGTTACTGTTGCAGATAGACCCCCGAGGTGAAATTCGATTCGACTTCTTTACCCCCAGAGGGTCTATTCCTCAGAAAAACAATTCTCTTTCTGAGGATAAAATAAACCAAAAATCACTCAGGGGTCTATCTGCAACAATAAAATTATATAGGTATTAAGTTCAAAACTCCATCACTCAGGGGTCTATCTGCAATTAACCCAATATAAAATCTCAGAAGCCGCTCAAACAAAAATACAGTCTATCCAGCCATATGTAGCACTCAGAGGCTTATAGGGATGAATGTTATAGCTGGAGGACATTTGTGGAAAAGCATGTGTTGCAACAGATTTCAAAGGCTTGAAGGAATGCATGCCATATTTGGAGGAGACGAGCCTGTGTTGCCAGTATCAAAGGCTTATGGGGATGCATGTTACATCTCGAGGACACTTACAAAGGGAATTTCAATATTCAAACATTTGGAAGGCAAGGCATGATTCTAACAAGTTATTAAAAACAGTATAAAAACAATTTACCTGCTCCAGCACTGCCATCAGACCAACTAGCAGATGCTGCCCGGTTGTCATGGATGCTTAACTGACGGGTAAGTTTTGAGAGAAGAGATGACTGCTTTTGGAACTTTTCTCGCCTATGCTTGACATTTTGATCCTCTTGTAGCAACTGTTCAATCTTTACATTGCTCTGAGCACTAAACCATGAACCAAAGACGCAAAATTAAATTCATTAGTAATGGATACAACTGTGCATGCATCAGGTAACTTTTGCTGTCCAAAAGCGAGACATGGAAGAAGATTACTATAAAAGTTATATAGATTACCATATAAGTTATAAAGACTGTGACCTAAATTTATTAATTAGATTTTTACCACGGCTGGTGCATTTGCTCAGTAGCTCTGAACACTATATCATAATGACACCCCTAACAGTAGAGGTGAACATTTATTAATTATGCATCTGTAACTATCTTCTGAATGCATCACAAGGTCTGAACATTTCAATACCACGAGTTAGCATCACATACAACCAAGCTGACTACCACATAATATAAACATGAGATATAATAATAATAAGTAACGACAAGACAAATCAACATATCATGATTCAACTCTGGATTTTATGAATAGAATACATTACTAAAAATTTCCAAAACTATGGCATGACTAACCTTACAGAGCTGTACAACTGATTCAACATGTCTTCCTTAGCTTTTTCCACTTGGCAAAGCACAACAGCCTGCTCAGTCATAAGGGAAACAGCTTCATAAAATATATCTACAAGTATGAACTAACTTTAGAGAAAAGAAAGGACAACATTTTACCTTTGGAACATTTGCAGCAAGACTGTTTAAAACAGCCTCCACATAGCCACGCACTTCCTGGGACATCCATCTAAGTTCTTCTTCTGGATCAGCAGGCCTTCTGGCCATTGTATCCTAAAATTTCAGAATTTTCTGTTTAAAGAAGGATATATATAACATAGGCACAGATGCGAGATATGAGTTGATCCGAAATTTTGGATATAACAGACTATTTAGTCTCGAATAATTGTCTATGTAGAAGAATTAGATTGTGTTACGAAAAAAATGTAGTGATAATGTAGAGCAAATGGTATATAATAGTGGCAAGAATAGCACTTTTTAGTAACATGTTCTTTGAAAATAGACAGTCTTTTCTCCCAATTTTTGGTTGGCCCACTATTCTTTGAGAATGTATGCACACAATAAATCATTTACAAATGATTATTTCTAAAAAAATTAGTATCAAGCGTCACAGAACAAATAATTGTTATAAATCATTCAGAAGGAAACATGGATATAGAGCAGTTTCAAGATCGAATTTCTATTATATAATCAATATCTTTCAAGTAGCAAAATATTTTCAAAATATATTGAATGCTAAATATAGGCAGAGTGGTGATTTCTAATTTGATTGAATAAATTTTCCCTTTTATAGGATCACCGTCTATTTATTTATTTTATTTTCTAACAAGAGAGAAAATTATCCAATGCTATCAGTAGCAATGCATACTATGATACAGACTTACTAGAGAACCATCCGAGTGGCTTTGCCTCATGGAGGGAGTAGCTTCAGAACCAGGTGCTCCCTTCACAGTTCCCTTAGAAGGTTGGGTTAAATTTCTTATTTTGTTCACCCACTCAACTTTGTCAGCCATATTCTCAGCCTTCAACACAACAGCACTATGAGCTACAGGATCAACAATGGGTTTTGTTACTTATGGAATATCAAGAGAAATATATATATGTACAAGAAGCATGTGAATGAAGCTAATCGTGTTAATGAGGAACTTACCCTTTAAAACAGTTTTGTATGCAACCTTGCTTGTTATTTTGAAGACAAGATTCGAACCTTTTCCAGAATCTGGTCCGTTTGCTTTCTTTGATTCCTTGGAACTTTTAGGAGGTTCTTCATCAACTGCCTCTTCTATATTACAGTCCTACAGACATGAATTACAAAAGGATTATGAGTATAAGAAAGAAGAACAGGCACATGCTAAAAACTACTTGATTAGCAAGTTCTACCTAGAAATCTGCCGTATAATATAACTTAAGCATCTAACATTAGAAGGCCTGTGCAATTTACTTAGTTGGAACGCAAAAGAAAACGAAGACAAGTAATATATTTTCCTTGAAATATATATGTTATTTACTCAAAAAAATGATGCAGAAAATTACAACACCTCCAGAATTTATAAATTTAACCTCCTCACCTGTACTGGCCTTCAATCCTAGATTTCCCAATTTTGTCCCACAACCCTAATTTTACTGTTCTTAAAACAACATAAATTGTGCTCATTCTCATGAAGCAAAATCAGGAATAACCAGTGACCACTATAGTTGGAGCTGTAGATATACACAACATAACCTACTACCATGCATTTTTATACAGAAATGTAAGACATCTTGGATGTTTAAATGATAACTGGAAGTTCCATCTAGTTTGTACTTCTTCATATGACGAATGACAGAAATTGAATCGTGTCAATAATAGTAGGTTGATTGATAATTTGTGAGCTTAGAAATCTATGTTTTATTAGATTAACAACAATTTGAATAGTTTAATCATTGATAAAATAACATTTCCGTGACCAAAAAACTATACCCTTCATTTTGCAAAGCTAGAGTTATTCAAATCTTCACTAGTGTATGGTCTCAGAGATACTTGCATACTCCACAGGAAACCAGTTTGCCATAGTACAGGAACAGGGTTTACATAACTCGCAATTCACAACGCATGTTGAAATACATGCTCTGCTGCAATGGTGCAAGTTCAGAGTTTCTATAATTATGCATTGCTAAATGCAAACTTCCTTGAGCAGAAGTGGGGAACATTATGGTTCCACTTACACATCTTCTAGCACACCCAACTCTATCAACCTATACCTTGAGTTCTCAAGTAACATTCTTTATTTACTACTCCAACAACCTTCAACCGTGAAAAGGTAAAACTATCATCTTCACGAGACAGAATTTATCTTAAGTCCTCAAACTAAAGTAAGATTATTCACCTGATATGTGGAGAATAAATGGAAAATATCAATCTAATGTATGATACGCATACCAGAACTGTAATGACCACCAGCACACAGATCCATAATACTAGAGTTAAAACCCACCAGTTAATGGGAAACTACAAAGGCGTCCTTTTGAAAAAATAAATATTTTTAGAAAATTATGCATGCCACCTCTGTTTGTTCCAGCATCATAATATTCAACAAAAAATAAACAGGATTTCTAAACAAGATTCAGCAAACTTCAGTTTGTGAAGGGTATGTTGTGCAGTAAAAGATTTCGTGAATTTAGTCTGTTTGGAGATGCGGGGTTCAAGAAAAGTACCTCCAAGATGATAACACCACGGAATTGCCTTTCCTCTTCTTTCTTTGTATATCCAAGCTGGGTCAAGCAGACATAACTTTGAGCATGTTTCATAATATCAAGACAAAAAGGTTAACTCGAAAAGACAAATAGAACATGGTTGTAACTAACTTTTCCACTTTTCTCATTCAATACAAACCACCGCCTGCTCCAGCCATTTGTCTTTGCACTTTTTTTCAGCAAATACCCTAGACCATATAAGCAAAAAAGAAGAGCACCATTATGAATTCCAGCGGTAGAAAAGTCAATAAATCTAACTGCACTCTGAGATTTAGAAATGTTGATGAATGATAAATGAAACGCAATATATCTCATCACTATATCTTTTGCTTCCCACTTAATATTTTATTATTGCCAGAATTGCTTTAGGTTTTTGTTTTGCTGACAATAGTTACAATACCAGAGCATCAACCATGAAGGCATCAAAACCAATCATGTATCTCTTTCCAAGTTCCCCTTCACCCCACATTTCGATAAGCAAGGTGTTCATGCTTCATAGTATGGCATATGTGAGACACAATCTCAATATCGACTGAACATAGCATGTTAGATCAGCAAATAAAATTGTGTCCAAGCCAGACATAAGAGAATGCAATTTGGTCTTTGAAGACAGCACCTCTAGCCCATTAAGCTACTTCTTACTTCGATACTGTTTGAAATAAAAAAAGTTGCGGAAATAAATATAGCTTATATATATGTAAAGAAATGAGCACATATGAATCCACAAACATGATAACCGAAAGTTAAGCAGAATTTTCAACCAATACAATTCCTCTAATTTAAAACAATATAGTTCATCCTTATATTCAGGTAAAAACAACAATTTCACGTAAATGCACCTGCTGTTATTTCTCCACTAGGACCAGCAATCTGTAAGGTTGATCCCTCTTTTGAATCTTTATCAGTTTGGTTGGACTTCTCCTTCATTGACTTTAAGGTTCCACCTGCCTGCTGTGATCCTGTTTGAGGGCTCGTCGCCTTAGTTTGTCAACAATTAGCCAACAAAGTATGCAATTAGCTGTTTGTTATTGTCAAGAAGGAAATATTCAAGTATCTAGAAAAAGGTTTATAAGTTTTGTATGCATGTGTGCTCTTGTATGTGCTTGTGTGTGTATTTCAGATGAAAAAGAACAAAAGAACTAACTCTATTCAACATTGCTTGCTCTGCCTCATGTGCTTTCTTTGAGGAGCGATTCTTCAGCTCGTCCTCACGCCGCTGTCTCTCCATCCTGGTAAGCAAGATTAAACAAAAAATGATTATATAGCTGAAACTGTTTGCGGATCAAGCATCAATATGGAGGCCAGAATTTGATGATACTTGCAGTACTTATTGCTGGTGGAAGAAAGTCCAAATTAAGTTATATCACTGTCCTATAACTGTCTCATGTATGAGGAAACGTATGCCCAAATAAAATGCCATAACATTGCTTCTATCAGTTAGCTGCCTACAAGTTTTGAGATTGAAACCCAATGCGATTTAAGGGAAGATATAAATACGCCTCCAATCTGTCATATCAGCTGTCACAAGTACCTATAGGTATACACATGAACATGAGCCCCATGCTCAGAAACGGAAAACCAGTGTAAATCATGATCTTCAAAAAATAGGCTTGAGGACAAGATAAATGTATGTGTGCCTACTCTGCGTAGATATATATTTGAGGATGGAGGGCAGAAGGGGACTAGGAGGGCACACTCCCTCCATTGACCTCACAAAAGTCAATATATAGTGTATTTAGGTAATGGCAACGGTAGTCACTCTCTTTAGTCAGGTAAAATTTATAAAAACTTCTCAGGCAAGAATAGAAGAGCAATTAGGGAAGATCAAGACCATGGATTAACTTATTACAAATCAGCATGGGAACAAACATCTATACAGTTATATTACAGAATATAATTGCACTCTTCAAATTAAGTTAAAGCAAACCATTAAAACAAGGTAAAAGTCAAAAACAAAAGGTTCATTCTTCATGAATAATAATTGTGCTCTCATTGAACGAATGTCCTGGGTTTGCCCCTGTACAACTTGTATATCTGTGTAGTTTGATGTTATACACATGTGAAAGGAAAAAAATGGTAAAATGGTCAACGCACCATTTAGCTTCTCAAAATTAAGCACAACATACAATATGTTACACATAACTTGAAGTGACTAAGACAGCTAGAAGTATCCAAAACTGTTGGCCACACTTGTCAAAGCCACAGGGTTGGATATGCAAATTTAGGTCAGAGAACTGTCCCACATATATCTTAGATAAATACATGGATATGCCGCAGCAGATCTTGTCAGTAAGACCTTCCCTAATAAACCATGTACCATGCGTAGTGATTCTATTTCAGTGGTGGTTACACACTTACATGTCCTGCTGTTTATTTAGAATTGGAGATGAAAATATTGTTCAAAGATTGGGAGAATATATTTCCTCAGGCATAACCACCGATATCTGAAAAGTGTAGTCTTATTCCCCGAGTCATGAAAGATAATTGCAATATCTCCCTGATGCGTATATAGTTACACTCTCTAGATGATTGTTGATGGTTTCAATTGTTGATGGTTTCAAAAGTTGACAAAGTCACTGATTTAGGTGGTAATACCAGTTGTATCAGTAAGAGAAGGAAAAAAAAAACTATGAAACAGAATAAATTCAGAACCCCACTATCAGTATATAACAATTTGATAGTCAATTGAGTTGAGAAGCACGATATTTAGTTTCATTAAAAGGGGAGAATCTAGTAATTCTATGGTGCATAATACACCATGATTTTGAAAAACAGTCTGCAATTTAAATAAGAAGGGTACCACAATCTTTCAGCCAAGCATTAGTAAAGTTAGAAGAGTCAAGCAAGTTAAATCAAACTAACCTCCGTTGAACTAAGCGGATGAAATGTTGAGGAGGAACAAAAGCACGCTCCATATCAACTAAAGCAACAACCATCTTTTTGGCCTCGTTTTTAAAATTGTCTAAAGCAGCAGATGCAATGGCAACAACCTTGCAAGGACTTCAACTATTAGATCTTTGCTAATTATTTTAGTATTTCACAATATCAATCATGAGATGGACATCATGAACATATAGTTTGCTCGCTTAAATATGTTAAGCACGACACAGCAGAATTACCTCACGCTTGAAAGGTGGGTATCTCCCCAGTCCAGGTGTAGCATTCGCAGCAGCAGAAACTATCTCAAGCAGAACACGGTGCACCTGTTCAAACAGTCAATACATAAATGAATAGTCCAGAGTTGGAAGTTTGTCCCATCAGTTATACCAAAATCTACAAAGATTATCAAGGACCATATGAGAACCACCTAAATGATTATGTAAAGAAACCAACAAAACTGATCATATGAGATTGAAGAAATTACCTCATCTACACAAAGACGTGATGGTTCTTTTGCAAGTTCTAATACCCCTTTTATTAAAGATCTTAACCCCTTTTCAGGAGATATCAAGTATGGTTGATAACCATCAGCTTCAAGTACAATCTGAATATAGAATAAGATAATTGAAGGTAATTAGAGTCCAGTGGTTAGAGCACCAATTACAAGCATGTAATATAAATAATAGTAAGAACGTACCCTCTTCACATTATTAATATCAAAATGTCTGTCAAGTGGAAGCTGTTTGATTCTGTTTGGGAAATTTCCTTCAAAACTAGCAACAACTTTCCATCCTCCGCCCTGCAAATAGATTATGGTGTATTCTTGGTGGTAATCAAACAATATAACAGAAATCGGCTTCTCTAAAAATCAGGCAACTATGGTAATAAGCATCTAGACTGAAATAAATGCCAATGGAATTTTGAAAATGCCAGTTGCTAATTTTTAAGTCGGACTATGATATTGAGGGAATAGTTCCATGTCAAAAGCAGTTTACAAATATATCAACTTTAATTATGAAGAAAATAAAAAACATACAAGCATGCAATACAAATAAATTTTCTTAAAACCAGCTTGAAATGAATATTAGTTGCCAAGTGCACACCACAGACATGAGTAGAATAGGGGACACGAGAAGAAACCACTGACCTCGCCAGTGGCAATATGCTGAAGAAACTTGTCCTCAAATTCTCTGCAGAGTTCCAAAGCAATAGCCCTAGTTCCTTCTGAACTGTGTACCATTTGTTCACCAAGTCTTACCAATTCATCCCCTACAATCTGAGACTTACCCTGCAACCTGAAAAGATTCAAGGAGATAAAGGTGTCATTAGAAAAGAAAGAGAAAAAAGGGGAAATGAAGTATTGTGTTAGAACAGAAGTTAGCATAAATGTTTATTATGCAACAATAAAGTTTTATCACAATTTTCTAGGGTGCGTATTCTTTTCCTCTATTCATCTATCTGAGAAGACATCTCATCTACTAAATTAGCAACTGCAATGTCCTTTTAGCAGCCATGGTATCCTTTTTATTATCGTCTAAACCTCGTTTACTTTTGGTCTACCATAGTGTTATTGACTCATTCAGCTATGGTCAGTGCTTCCCTAGATTAATGCACTCATTCATCTCCATAAGACAAGTGAAAATCACATCAAAAATTGATAGATAAAATGTCATTAAATGTATCTGTTCATTGGACTTGGAATCCACAGCATACCACCAACTGCTAATAATACTTTGATAGTAAAGAACACAAAACTGTAAGGAAAGTACGCCAATAGAAAGCTCATAGTAGTAGTTTACCCAGACAGAAGATTTGGAAGCCTGACTTTCATTCGTTTACGTATTTGTTTGGCAAGGGTATCTACCAAAGCCACTCTTCCAAGCTTGCTCTGTGGAGCTCCAGTCAGTATAGATCTGAGACTCTCACTCTCAGCTCTCCAAGCAGTTTCCAGTGAATTTTCACCAACAGATCCAGCTTGTGCTGAAGCAATGGAAACAGATTGCCCAATCAGAGCCACCCATGGAATATCTGAAGCTTTTGTTGGCCCTTGATTCAAAAGAAGAGCCTGGACAGCTGCAAGAATTTTCTGGTCTCCAGCTGCTTGATCAATTTTGCTAATAACACCAATTGTTCTCGTCCCTATAAAAAATGAATAAGAAGCCAAATCAAGATCTGAAAGACATAATATACATAAAGCTGTAAATAACACCAAGAGAGACGGTTGGAAGCCTAACAATACCAACTGAAAAAATAATTACCAGGCATCCAAACCATGCACAAAAGTTGTTTCAGAAAGTTTGCACAGAATATTACAAAAAAATGTATAGAAGGTAATACAAACCATCGGCATCAAATTCCTTCGCCAGTCTGAGAGCTCGAGAAGACGAAATTTCTGGTGCCTGTGCAGCTGGTACTATGATCAGCAATATCGCATCATTATGTGCAGCATAGTCACTAACCTGAGTATAATAAGGACCATCGTTATTTTAACCAAAAAAATAAGCACCCATCTCCTATGCAAACAATCAAAACCAGGAACAGGTATTACATCTCAGGGAAGTATAATTAGAATACAACTACTACATCAGAAAGAAACACTTAGACTACAACTACTACATCAGACTCGAAGGAAAAGCACTGTAAACCCGAAGCCTCATGTATTCACAGATAGTTCTATATTTCAATGGTTCCTATTAAAGATCAGCTATCAAGCATATTGCAGCTGTATTTTAGAAGAAAAAAATTTAACATACATTGAACATTTCAATGGAAAAGAAAACTAGTAGCAACTCACTGTTGACTCATCCATAGCTCTCTGATCTAAACCTGGTAGATCAATCAACTTCAACGGCGGAGCTGGAGAAAATAAAAGGATATTAGACAGCACAAAATGATTTGAAAGGGCAAGCAGTTGGCAAGTAAATGTGTTGCAATACAGTAACATCGATAAAAAAACCACACACTAAATGAACAGCCAGATAATAAGTTATGCAACATGAAGACTTTAAGCACAATGATTAAGGTCCCTATATTATCATGAAAATGCATTAAGCTCACCTTATCTAAATATCAGGCGTTAGTGAACCATGTTATAGCAATAATAAAGGATTTATATAAATTAGGAAGAATCTACAAACATGTATGTAACCATTAATATAGTAACCCTAATCATCAACTCATCCCAAATACTTTGGTTAAGCCTAACAGATCCTTTGCATTTACTCCACAATAAAACGACAGACACCACAACAAGCTTTTCCAACTGTTTACAATGGTAACAAATTAAGAGATTTCTGTTTAAGCGTTACGAAGTAGATTGAAAAGTTAAAATTGGGCGTGCAAACATTTAAAAGCGGTCACAGGTTATTCACTACAATGGTTCACTTCAAATTAATCTTTTAGATTTGATCTGTTCTGGTAATTGGGTTACACTGGTTGGACATGTGGTAATATATTCATTAAGTTGGTCGAAAAGATCCTTAACTTGTTAAATAAATGGGTCGAGTGTGTATACCAGACACACATTAGTCCACTTCAAAGTGACTCGACTCGTTTCTGCTCTATCAGCCTGTTTTCCACCCATAGAGGTACTTACAATTAATTCATGTGTGGCATGAATAATATTAGTATTGTAAGAGTACATATCTGAACATTTAATTGGGCATAGATGTAACCGTAAGTCCATAAAATGGGTAACTTAAAAACAAGTGAAGTATAATATAATTCCTTAAGGTTTGTGATCAACTAAGTTTCTATTAATTTGCTAGCTGAAAAGGGCTTCTGAAATTAGACCAAGTATGTAATGTTGTGAGTGAAAAAGCAAGGTGAAATAAGCAATCCCTCTATAATGCATGAATTTATATCCTAAACCTCTAAAAATCCAATTTGTGCCATGCATGTTATTAGGGCCAAAAAAAATTCTCCATTCGGCTAGTCATGACTAAGGATTGAATCGAACCAAATAATTAATAAATAGTTCGTCAACTATTCATCAAAGTATTCAGTTATATTCAATTAAATAGTTCATTTAAAGGAAAAAAACAAAAATACTTAGTATTCGGTTTTAAAAAAAGAATTTAACCAATTGTGTATCGAATTTGTTCGACTATTAAATACTTTTTCTGTTATATTTTAGCCCTATAAATTTAATTTATGAACAACTCTACCCGTAAAAGTTTTTTTTTAAATGTGCATCATGCCCACATATATCAACATACAGATTTTGATTTTAAGGCTATGAGATTAAGATATACTAACTTAAGCTGAGATTAAATTTAATTTTCATTGAGATATTCAAAAGTTAATTTAGAAACAGATTAGTGACTGTTTAAAGTAAATAAACTGTTTAAAGTAAATAAATGGTATAGATAGATTTTAGTTGAGAATAACAGTCCGAAGGTTTAACTACTGAACTAAGTGTGTGAAAAAATAGATTTGCGTCTATGTGGAGTTCATAGTATCATAGTTGCAATAAAATATAAAAATGAAAAGAAAAATGAAAATACAAACACCGTAGGGTTCAAATCCAATAAAATTTATCTAGATAGTAAAACAAAGAGAATCTGAATACAGTTTTGGTATTCAAATTCGAAGACAATTTTGAATACTAGAATACTACTCGAATTCGAGTAGTATATTATTCACTATTCAATTCGATTCGGTTCCATCCTAGTAATGGCTAATATATATAAAAGAAAAAATTAACTAGATTCCACATATGTATTACTTTTCCTTGGGAAAGATGTAAATGTAATATCAAATTGTTGAAGTTTAAAGGAGAGGTGGCTAAAAAGAGATTTTGCATTTTTTGCATTTTTCACTCTAATGAGAAGAGGGATTAGCACATAGGGTACAAACAAACCGAATCAAATAGTTTGCGACTCTAATTCAAAATCGGTTAGAACTGTAGCCTCTGAATTCATATTTGAATTCTATTTGGATACCAAAATGGTATACAATTTTGAATTTTATTATTCAGCTATTCATCAAATGCTCATGAATATTGTAGCTTGATTAGTAAAGCCTAAGTCTTTTATTCTTGTAGTCGTGTTCGAACCTAATGGTGGGCAATTTCTTTTTTATTTCATTTTAATTGATATTTTATAATAACTATCCTACTATAAATTTCACATCTACAGAAATTCATTTTGTAGCGTGCTTATTTACCATTTAAATTTCTCCATTAGTTTTATTACAACACTAAAATATATATTATTTATTTTAATTTAAACAAATACTAAACTATAGTCTATATCTAAATTAACTTATCAATATCTCGATGAAAGTAAATTTACGCTCATCTAGAATCAGTAGACTTTAATCTCATTGGCTTAAATCAAAATCTATTTCTAATAGATATTATGTTTTGTTGATACATGTGAGCACATCTCAAACACAACTTTATAGGATGATTAACATTTGTAATAAACGCCCAAAAAATCTTAATCAAAGTTAAATTGCAAAAAGGGTTCGCATTATAACAATTTAGATATTTTTCTAACGAATAAAACAATGTCGTCCGCAAATAAGATACAAAGTTATCTCCTAAAAGTATTAACCATAAGAAGAACCATGAAGCATGTAATTAATATGGCCAAATTGTTGAGTCATCTTGAATCCTTTAGCATTGTAAAAGTAACATATCTAACCTATACCAGGATTGCCATGGAAACATCATATGCCTCTATAAAACTTCACTATTGTCTCTCTCTCCTTAAAATTCTATAGGAAATTACTTTTTTATACCATCACATGCTAAGTAAACCAAATTGTAAGTAACGGAAGAATTGTTGCTCCCTTGCAAAACATTGTAAAAAGTCATGGATGAAATTTCCAATTCTAACGATTCTTGCTATAAGTGTGGTCTTCAACACTTTGTTATTAATTGTTGTCACCAAATCGCACATCCTAATTGGTTTAACTGAATGTAATTCCTAAAAAAGGGAGATTGACAGTAATTATTGGTTAATTATCTCTTTACCACTTAAGCTTCTATCAGGGCAAAGGCGTAGCCGCATAGGGCTCAACAAGGCCCTGGATCCTACTTATTTATTAAAAAGATAACAAGAGGTAATGATAAATTGTAATTTTGTAAACTATAAGGGCTAAAGTGTAATATCCTCAACCAAAAACAATTCACTTCCTTCTAGTTTTATTCCCCATCTCTAGTCTCATTCGTGCTCCTCCAACCTCATCCACCCTCCTCAGGACGTGGTACGGCGTTCATCCACCATTCCTCTTAGTACCATCTTGATTGCAGTTAGTTTTCTAATTTGTCTTATACTATGTTTGACTTTTTTTAAATTTAGGGTTTGAATTATTTAGTATTTTAACTATTAGCTTTTTCCCTCTTATGATTTGTTTAATTTTCTAATTATTTACCTTCTATGATTAATAATTCTTTTGACTTGTTTAGGATTTAAGGTTTTCAGAATTCTAACTTTATTCCTCTTTCAATTGTTTTAGGTTTTAGGAATTTAGGGTTTGATTTGTTTAGAGAATTCAATTCTAAGCAATCATAACCATTCAATTCCTAATAAAACTGAAGTATCTATGTCCCTTCTAACAAATTCATGACCCTCTAATTCCTAAACAAAGTCCAATAAAAACCATCATTCTAATCATCAAGAGTTTGTACCAAAGAATATGAGGACGGCGGATAAAATTTCATATAAAACAATAATATATGTATTATATTTGAAATGATAATTTGTGATAAAAAATTATAATATCCATACATTTATCTTTTTCAGTCATGAAACAGTTTCATGAAAGAAATCAAGTACCTCCTACCATTGGGTCTAATGGTAACTCAATTATGGAAGGATTTCTTAAAAGAGATTTGAGTACCTTCTGCCCCATTGAGGGTTACTTGTGTTTACTTTTTTTTTGGACATATGAAATATGTGTTATCGTGTTTAAGTATTTGTTAGACCCCCCCACCCCACCCCACCCTCCTGTCAAAAAAAATCCTAGCTCCACCACTATATCAGGGCCACCCTCAAGTCTCAATATTTATAAATGCATCCATCTTCACCCATTCCTTCAACCATATAACAACTTTAAATCATCATTCTTCTCATATACAGATTCAGAGAGGCTTCTTCCTTAGTAAGTATAACTACTAGACCATATAATTATCCCCTTAATAAGTCTGGTTTTTGCAAAACACCACTATATCAGGGCCACCCTCAAGTCTCAATATTTATAAATGCATCCATCTTCACCCATTCCTTCAACCATATAACAACTTTAAATCATCATTCTTCTCATATACAGATTCAGAGAGGCTTCTTCCTTAGTAAGTATAACTACTAGACCATATAATTATCCCCTTAATAAGTCTGGTTTTTGCAAAACTCTCAATATTTATAAATGCATCCATCTTCACCCATTCCTTCAACCATATAACAACTTTAAATCATCATTCTTCTCATATACAGATTCAGAGAGGCTTCTTCCTTAGTAAGTATAACTACTAGACCATATAATTATCCCCTTAATAAGTCTGGTTTTTGCAAAAC